TATATAATAATATTACCCAAAACAGTACGAATATTGATCCAATGAACTGAACTTCACCCAAGTGAATCAAATATACTATATATATATATATGCATGTTTAATATCTTACGAGTTAAGAGAACGCAGTAATTAATCGAGGCCTAATTCATTTACGACGATCAGTATAAAATGAACTTCTCCTCTCTGGGATCCTGTTCAATACATAAATATATTAGTGCAACTAATCAGTCAAGACAAACTGTACATTTGACACTACAACCGTTCGAATGGGGTGTTCACGTCCATCTAGGTTGTGAACAACTATTCTTGTTCGCAAGTAACTGATAGAGTGATCTTCGGTTCGCCCGATGACGACCCACCCTATCTAAGTGCAGAACAACAGAATGTAGAGCTTGTTTAATCTAACATGATTCTCATTCATAAAGGGCAAATGTGTAATAACATGAAAAGCCAAGCTTTCAGTATATAACACTAACATATCGAACGTCACATATTTCGCGATTATGCGACATTTATTCGCATAGTTTACGACTCACATATCTAAATCTATAATGCAGTATAATTAATGATTATGCGTTCGCATATTCACGAATCGCACAAATCGAAAGCTGCATAATTTAGGACTATCCCCCATTTTATCGGCGATTCATATCACGAGTCGCATAACCGCCTAAAATATTTCGAATATTATTTGCATAATTTATGCATCACTATGACTGTATGATTTTTCACGTAAAAAACACAGACATATCTATATCAACCTCACATAATTTGTCAAAATTCGAACATATTTCACATATGATTCACAAAATTTGCATAATTACGCAATATGCGAACATTTTTCACGTGGAAATTGGAGATCATTTATTTCTTTCATATTCATTATTTATCTTATATAAACGTTAATAATATAAATAATTTCAAAAAAATAATATTGTTCTTTTTATATATATTTTTATATAATCTCACTAAAGTAACTACAAAACTTAATTATCATTAAATATCTTCTAACAAAGAACAATATTTATTCAATCACATGAAGATTGAACTACCACCCATTACTAATTAATATTTTACTATATTTTATCAAATCGACTTCAACATATTTTCATACTAATTAATTTCTTATTATATTTTATCAAATCAAGAGTTAAATATTTAAATTATTAGTAATTAAATTAATTAACAGACATTGGTATCTTAAACATGAGAGATAAATATAGTAGATAATTTGGAGCCCAACATAAATTGGAGTTAAAAAAAAGTTCAGTAACAATCCTTTAGTGGACTGGATTTCTATTGATGGACTAAAAGTGTAAGGTGGCCCAGAATCCAATTCACATAATCCTATCAGGAGTCCATCTTTAAGACCTCTTTAAGTTACCTGTTACAACGTATGAATGTTTTTGCCCTGTCTCTTGAAAGTAATACACGCACGAAACTAATTTTTGAGGGAAAAATATAGCGAATTTAGAAAAGAGAGAGAAAGACCGTGTTTCCTAAATCTACTAGGAGATAAACACGAAAGGCTTTCCCATTTTTTCCAAGGATCGATCGATGTAAGTCATGAGAGAAGATTTGATAAATCGTCGCCCACATAATATTTGAATATGGTAATCGGAATACAACAAGAGACTTTAAGGTCAAGCAGGTAGTACCTTAGTTCCGTTGATTGTGTATCGTCTCTGAGTCGATAATAAATTATAAAAAAAATAAATGTTCAATCCTAACTCTTCCATATCGACAATTAGTGGGTTGTATAGCCCGGTGTGTAATTGAACCTTGTATTTTGGTTTTATCAATGAGTTATTCTATCATTTGACAAAAATAATGATATAGCCATATTGTGACATACTGGTTTGAGTGCTAACTGCTCGACTGGGTGGCGAGTCGGGCATCCTACGTGTCGACTTAAGCCGACACGTTTATGATCGGTTCTCCATACTACTAAGGCAGAGGAAGTCGGCATCCATAAGTCGACATGCTTAAGGCCGACTCCTTGTATCTCCATGATAGGGGGTGCCAACTTACTCAAGTCGACATGCTTCAAGTCGACTCCCTATATCCCCATGATAGGGGGAGTCGACTTCCTTAAGTCGACATGCTTAAAGTCGACTTCTTCAACTGTCTAAATCAAGGTAGAGCCTCCTAATGTATTCTTATGTAAATTACAAAGTCAACCTCGTGTTCCTCGAGGTCGACTCTTTATATCTCGAGGTCTGAGGCAGACGAAGACTCAAAATACTTCATGATATCCAAACTAACTGGATGAATGAGGATGAATCTTTATTGGATGAGATGGAATCTTAGCTGACTCGGATCTGACTAAGAGGTGATTAGGATGCAAATAGACCGGGCAACCAAGCTGGTCGACTAGAGTATTTTGAGTATTTCCGACAGGTATTTTCCTCTATAAAAGGGGCTGAGGTAACCCTAAACCCTAACTTCTACACTCTCCATCCATTTTCCATATCCTGCTGCTGCTGCTCCCTCTGAGCAGAGCACTCTCATCTCTTTCTCATATTGACTTGAGCGTCGGAGGCTCTACGCATGAAATATTTCTGGCGTTGAGTTCTTGCAAGTGTTGAAGACGATCCAAAGGCAGTTCAAATAGATCGGAGCTCATCTCAACCGGTCCACTCCAGATCTAGGAGGAGACCCATCAAATAAAATAAAATAAAATAAAATAAAATCATAACTCTAGATTTCCGATGTGCTTTGGATTTTATTCGTAGTTCTTGAAGTTAGATATAAATAGATATTCTTCACTGAGCCCAACAGTTGGTACCACATGTTGAACTGGTTAGAACGTTATTTAATTAAATCATATCTTTTACATACTTATTTAACAATAAATTTTATATACGAAATCATCATTCATTAAGTATTTAGATAATTTAAAATATTCGATTTCTAAATACACATCCATTATATTTAAATTTATATTTTTCATATATTAAAACATTCATAAATATTTAAAAACTAAATTAAAAAAATGAAAACAATTGATCAATTCGTTCCAATGAATTGAACCATTTAGTTGACCGGTCCTCAATTCGACAGTCAATTTTGTCTGATTCTCAAAATAATAGAAACCAACAATATTAACTTTTACCTCTACAATAATATATATATATATATAGATATAATATTTAATTTGTATTAAAACCCTACATTTGTAAAAAAAAATTAATTATTTTTATCAATACATTTGTTTATTAAAAAATAATTTTAAATAGAAAATTGTATTGTAATTTAACTGAAAATATTAATGCAATATAAATATGTGAAATGATATTATCGAAGTGATATAATGTAAAGAAAAAGATAAATGTAAACCATTTAACCAAAATATTAGAGCAAAAAGTCCAAATAAAAATTGGTGAAATTATTATTAGAACTAATAATTTTTAGAAGAAAGCTGCAAATTTAGTATTGATCAGATTGTAAAATTTGGACCAAAGTTTCAAATCTCATCCTATTTACAAAACAAGATTGACTAACAGTGGAAATAAAATTGCCATA